AACATGTTGCAAGAGTATAAAAATTCGATACTGCTATAAAATGCCAAATACGCGTATGAAAATTTTGAATGGCAATTTGTGCGTGACCGCAGGTGTACGTACCATAAATACATATGAATGCATAAAGAATATACCGTAAAAATAAATATAAATATACAAATATAATGTAACATATATAATATATATGTATGCATACATGTATGTTTACCAGCAAGCTCCCTTTACTCTCCTTTCTTGGCAATATTTAAGCTTCTTATCTAATTTAACTCTCACAATGAACTTCAACTTGCTTCTGTCGTTCTTGGACTTCGTATAAGCATTTAATGCACACACTTACATACACACATCCATACATAAGCTCTACACACAGTTAATGAATAGACGCTTTCAAGTGCTTCGTTTGCATTGCTACTTGCCATTGGAAAGGCGTGAAGCCATTTAAAATCACCTTTACTTTTTATTGCCGTTTCACTCTACTCAATAATGGATGTGCATTTTTCTCTTTCTTCCCATACACATTCCATGCACACATCAGACAAACATAAATTTTGTAGAGAAAAATGTCAACAATGGCATATTTTTACGCCAATTCAAGAAGTTGTAACATTGAATCCCATTTATTATACTTATATACATACATGTACATATATACATATGTACAGACTTAAATATGTACATATATATTTATGTATACATGCAGCTAAGAAATGAGGCGGTTATAAAAATAAGCAGAAACAAGTGGATCAATGCTTTGGCTAAGTGTTGAATGAAGGTCGTAAACGAGTTCTAGTGGCAAGTTTCATCAAGTGTGAATACGTCAATTGGCCGGCGGATATGTATATAGATAGGCTTGTCGAGCGTGAAGACCCATAAATGTTTTGCATTCATTAAAATACATATACAATATATAAATGGATTCCATTAAATATAGTTCTTATTTTAGCTCTGATATGTTGATAAATAATTACTTTTCTTTTTACTTATAAGCTCCGTCTTAACTTTATCCTCTACATATGTATGTATGTATGTATATCTATATCGCGTATATATATGCACCATATTTATTTGTAAAGTCATTTTAGAGGAAAAAATAGGCCAAAAGTTGTTGCAGAGCACCCGGCGGCCCTGAGAACTGCATCTCTCCCCCTCTTCAGTTCTCTGTTAAACAAAACCTTAACGAAAATTTTAGATTTTGCTCCTGTTGAATTTTAAGCCTAAGGCTCAGTGAGTTTAAGCCACGAACGCAGCTGCGACTGTCGAAACCATACTTTTGGCCCCTTATACATCATATCTTCATACTCCGAACAGTTGAAGTATTATATTTTAGAAAAAAATACGACTCATAGTTCAGATATCTTAGAGAAAACCATGCTTTTCCGAAAACAAGAATGTTCAGAAATCAAGAATATCAGAACAGGACAGAAAGAGTGGGACGAAATATGCTTCTGAAGAACTCGAGACTCATTAATAACGTATTTCAAGTTCGAATAAAAGTTACGACGTAACTTGTTACATCAGTTTCTGATATCATGGAAATATTGCGGGTTTTATGAGAAGCTTTTTTAGCTTAACCAGATAGTAAAACTATATGTTGTAAGGAACTGTAAAAGCGTAAGTGTTAGTCCGTTCTGGTGTGGCCGAAAACTCAGCAATGTTAGTGAAACAACTCAGATCCTGGAACACCTCCAGCACAAAATTACTTTGTGGCAGTGTTGATAGTAGATAGGCCAAAAGGCTTCCACTTTTAAGAGAGAGAGAGAGTTGACTTACTTCACAGTGGTCATCACAGGGCACTTAACACTAAAATCGCACCTTCAGAAGGTTGGTAAGGAGGAACTGGAATATAGCAGAGCATGCGCGGATTATGATGATACGTTCACATTATCTTTACGAATTACTGGAATTTAATCGGTTGAAACGAGACACCTTTCACGAACCCCACTATTCCAATTCAAAGGAATTGGACAGATAGGGTGCAAAATACTTCAGAATTACATCAAAGCCACCGTGTTGGTGTTTAGTGGGAGGGTCAGATGGGAGTACAATGGGCCTGATGATGGAGAAAATTGTTTACCTCCTTGTCTCAGGTTTACCGTTATTAACAGTTCTCCTTTTTAAAATCATATGAAAGTAAGTATATAAACATATGTATGTATGTATGCACATATGTTCATACTTATATACACATATCTATTTCAACTGGCGTGTGTTACGAAAGGGCACATTCATTGATGCGCTCGCACACTTCCTCGGTCATTCATTTTCGACTTAAAGTCGCGAAACTAAAAATGACAAACGAGTAAATTAACAGCTAGAAATTGGCACAAGTCGTGCCAAAGAAAAACAGCTGACGAAATTTCCAAACATAAACACGAAGCGAATAACTGCACGACGATAGGGCAGGCAAATGACTCCTATTCACCAGAGAGTGGGGAAAATTGGAGGGCAATCAAAGAGCCGAACACAGCGCAAACAAAGAGAAATTTAATAAACACAAAAATACAAAAATAAAAAGAATTACAAAAAGTAGGAAATTATTAGTGAGTATGTGTATGCTTACGTTAAGCAACAGAAACAACAACGAAAGCAAACGCAAAAAGCACAGGCTGAAAAAGGCAGCGCACAGAGGGGAAATTTTAATGAAAAATGGAAGTTGAAAGCAAAAAAAACTAAGCATACACACGCACATTTTATTGAAATTTGATACGTTGTTGAGTTTAACGCAGCCGGCCGTCGTCAACAACAACAACAGCAACAATAAGGGCAACATAACCAGCGACGACTGACAGTAAGTAGAAAAATAAAGAAAAGTACAACAACCACTAACAGCATCAATATACGCGCAACAACGCTGCAGCAACCACCATAAAACCGAAAGCTGCAAACAAGCAAATGAAACGAACCAAAACGTCGCGCAGTCGAGCGTTACCGAAGCGCGCAGAGGCGCTAATGTGGGGAGGAAAGGAAAACAAGCAAAAACACCAACAACAACAAGCAAATCAAGACAGCAGCGAGCTACATAAATGTCACTACAGAAATGAGGGGTCGCAAGGGAGCTTACCAACCACTTCGTCAAAGTGTTGTTAAGGCGCGGTAAGAGAAGCAGTGCGCAGCAGCAAGAACCAACGCGAGGCGCATTCAAATAGCGCAATACGGGCTTCTGATTTGTTGTTGGTTTTGCGCGCTTTCAGTTGACAATGAGGACCACGACCGACGGCGTTGACGTTGGCTCGCAATGGCGAATCATCGGCGTCGTAGGGAACTCTCTTGTTTACTATACATTTACTTCGTTGTATGCTCGCACCCTTATCCGCTGGACATGCCATGCCATCGCCTGCTGGCTGACTCACCGCTGAGGTGTGTGCGCCTATGACGTAGATACGACATTTCACTGGCTGCTGGCTGGCACTAGCAAAACAGTTTGTATGTATTGCATAGTCTGGCATTTGTATAGACGATATTGCGGGCTAATTTTGATGCGTTGATGCCTTTGTTTCGTTCATTTCTTTCGACACTTTGCGCAATGTGTCCTTGTTGTTTTCGTGTGAATTAGGTGAACGTTTTTTATGTCCAAATGTATTAGCTAAATTTTATCACGCAAATAAAATTGTTTTAAATTAAAAAACCCATTAGAAATTAATTAAAGTAAAATTAACTACGATGTATGTACATATATATTTTTGGTATAACCGATTAAAAAAAACCAAGAAAACGAAAACAGTTGCGTTTACCGAAGCTAGAATACGCTTCACAGATACCTTTTTTATAGCATAAAAGCATGTAAAAAGATATTTTTCTTGTTTTGGATGGCAGCTACATAAGTATATGATATAGTGTTCCGATTTGAACAATTTGTTCCGAGATTGTACCGTTACTTTATATAGATATCTTAAAAACTGAGAGATTAGTTTGCCTACAGGTAGACGGTATATTTACTTTTATATAAATGTTATACGGTCTCCCACGTTACAAACTTCATTTCAAACTTAATCATTTTCACACTAGCTTACAAAAAGTGAGCCTTATATGAAGTTAGCCAAGCTATTCTGATGTTAGTCGGATTAATTTTTTAAATATTTTCAATTATATTATAATATGAAAATGATTTTATTTGCACCATTTGGGTTTAAATTGTAACCTGAGTGCCATGATCAGTGCTTCTGAAACCTCAAAAGACATGCGCATTGTGGGTATCAATTTTTTTTTTTTACTTTTTTTTGTTTCTTACAATTTACCACAAATAAATACACATGTCGTTGTTGTACTTTTGTCTTTTTAAACTTTAAAACAGAATTTGAAGGCTATGAGTTGTGTTTTTGTATGCATACATACTTATGTAAGTATGTATGTGGTTTATGATTATGACTTGCGGTTAAATTGAAATAGTGAACGACATGTTTTAAAATATCTAATAACATAAAACTTTAAAATAATTAGTTGAATATATTAATAATAAATTGTATATTTGTTTAACAATTCCTCATATACATAAGTACATATGTATGTATATATTAATATTTTTTTTAATTGGGGCAATTTTAATTATGATAATTATTTTGCACAAGCTGATATATGTGCATATGTATCTGCGTTCGTGCTTGTGAATTTTTTTCATACATACATACATACATATACACATTGATACGTAACTATAATAACATGCCACCTCCAAAAACCCACTACACAACGCAAACCGCACTCCAGACCACACGTTGTTGCTGTTGCCACCGATCTGGCCGCCATCATTATATTATAATGGGTATAAGCAAATGGTGCAGTGAGTGTGTCCACAGGATCAAATTACCAAATGCAAAAAGAAAAAACATTGACAAATGCGCGGAAAAAAATTTAAAGGAAGATAGTGCAAACAATAAAAGAGCAGAAAAATAAATCATATATGTACATACTTATATGTATGTACATACATATGTATGAACATAAACATATTAGGTATGTATGTATGAACATAAACATATTAGGTATGTACATAAGTACATATATTTAAAGTAGATATGCAGCAACGAAAAACACGTTAATGTTTATTGAATTTTTACGTCTTATAAAACTATACAAAAATTTCAGGTGCGAGGTGAAAATATAATTTATTATTGTATATTATTATTGTAAATTTATAAATAAGTGTGTAAGCCTGAGCTCCATGTGGTTTCACACTGACTTTAATCCGAACTAAAATTTCTACCGATCCCCGCCGATACCACTCGCAAGTATTTCTTCGAAACGATGTTTGAGCAGTGATCATACATACTTACGTTTTTGTTGGTCTGAATACATTCGGTAACAAGTTGCATTTACTTGACCCCACCTCTGTTGGTCTCTTCTACCGCCCCCTGCACTGTTTGTCGCCAAATCCTCCCGAATGTTGTAGCCAATAGAAGACAGGGAATATTAAGTTTGCACAAAGTTGGTAACACCCAGAAGAAAGCGTTGGAAACCCTATAAACTATACATACATATGTATATATAAATGATCAGCATGAAGAGCTGAGTCGATTAAGGCATATCCGTATGTCTGTCTGTAAGAGTATATATGCGAACTAGTACCTTGATATATCGATCTGAAATTTTGCACAAGTCCTTTTCTCCAAAGAAGCTGCTCATTTTTCGGAACCGCTGATATCGGACCACTACTGCATTGATTTTTTTTGTTGCGAGATATCTTTACGACTTTTGGCTTGAATTGCTGTCGAAAGCATCTCCGAAGAAAATTTCCAGGATCGGTCCACCATATTATATAACTGCCATACAAACTGAACGATAAAATTTTTGATATTTGATAAGATATTTGAACGAAATTTTGCATGAATGTTTGTTAAAGGCATTGCTATAATCAACATACAAACTGACGGACCGCTCTAATGTACATATGTATGTATGTATGTATGATTTACTAGATAATGTTTCTACGAAGCTACAGTTAACTACAGCGGATTGAAGAGAAAAATACAGTTTATCATTATTCTAAAAATTTAATATTGTTTTTAGGGCACTAAAGCAAATAATAAGTACTGGATTTATTAAAAATCCCAGACTGCGTCAGGCTTTATGAAAAAATTTAAAATAATACCCTTTTCGACAAAAATATATACATTGTACATACATTTGTACATATGGTATGTCTATATCTAAAAGGAAGCCAAAATAAAGAACTAATTTTCCATATCATTAAAGTCCGATATACATACAATGTATTTTTCTACAATATATTTTTCTACAATGTGTAAAATATACTACTTTCGAAATCGATTACATGGTATCGATAGCAAATTTACTTTTGTCCTCTCCTCCAGGCCATCAGGTTTTGCTTTACCACCTTTTTGTTTTATTAAATTTTATTCTTAATTTCTTTTATTTTATGCTATTGTATTTTATTACTTACTTAATTTACTTCTTTTTCTAATCTTTGAATAATATTTTATTTTCTATATTTTATTCTTTAACACTAAATATAATACATTACCTTTATCTTTCTTGAAATGTCATTGTCACTGCTACATAAGTAAGTCGCCATTGTTGTTTTCTTGTGGGCTAATTTTGCACTCGTCACTAATCATACATATGTATGTTGTATGTATGTATGTATATGTTCAAAGTACCGATATGTGAAGCAGAACAACCGCTCCCTTCTTTGCTATGCTAATGACATTATACTCCCTTTTTTCAGCTTAAACTTCCTATTTGCCGACTTTTTTTCGATTTATTTAATTTATTGCAGGCGCTATTGAAACTCTTTCTAGCTTCGTTCCACTACTCCACCCACTTTTCAACACCTTATTGCAATCCACACGCCTCACGTGTTACTGTTTTTGCTTTTTTCTTATGAACTCTTGCGTTTTGACGTTTTATCATTCTCCTCTATGCGATGCATTTCAAATCGCATTAAACACCATTGCTGTTTGCTAAATAAATAAGCATGAGCTGAATAAATGCGGGGAGGTGCATGGAACATTGATCGCTCTCTCACTTCTGTTATTTCTATTTAATAAGCGGAGCGCTTTTGAGGGAGAGTGCCGTAAAAATGTATGGATGCAAAAAAAAATAAACAAAAAACGAAAGAAATGCACAAAGGCATTCAAAAGTATCATATTACATCCGTTATTTTGAAAAGGTTTTTCTTTTATAATTATTTTTGTTGGCGCCTTGGCTTCAGCTTTCTCCACACTTTCGTCTCAATTTAGTATATACTAGTATTGTTGTTGCTGTCTGTGGCATACATACATATTCATTTATTTTAGGCTTTGTGCCACTTGAACGCTTTGCTTATATTTATAAAGAGTTGCCAACGAGTTGATGGAATCTTGAACCGTTTTGGAATATTTTAGCAGAGAAGTTGCTTCCATTAAGAAGAGAAATGTTCGAAAAAACAAAAGCAGTGATAATTTAAGAAGATACATATGTTAGGTTATTCTGGAGCCTTCAAAAAAGCCCTACTCTGACAATTTATGCTGGGAGCATCTAGTATGCACATATTTGAGTGTATAAAAATGTATTATTAATATGTTGATACAATATTTGGAAATGTATAACATTTACTTAAGTTAAGCATACATTTGGATTTTCATTCAGATATCTCAAAAACTGAGGAATAAATGTTTATAATCCATTAAAGATAAACTTATCCTTGAAATCGGTTTTAGACCCGTAGTCTCTTGAGCAAAGTTATTTAGAATGATCCGTAGAACATTTCCCGCATACGCGATTTTATTTCTGATTTTGGTCCTCTCCACCAGGCCATCAGGTTTCTAGGAATATATTACTGCTGTCAGTCAAATATTTAGATTAACTGTTATCATTTTACATAATATTTTTGCATTTTTGTTTTGAAATTTAAAGCTACACTTGCAAGTTTGTCTTCAATTCTTCATAAATAAATATTTTTCTCTGTTTTATTGTTGTTGTTTCTTAAATTTCCTTTGTTCTTCTTTAATCATTTTAAATACTTACTCACTCACGCCTATTTACACTTCTCACTTGCTGTGATTGTTGGTACTCGCTGCGCCATTGGTGGCATTCAAACGAAATGAAGCAGAAAGAACAATAAACAATTAAAATTCGCAAGCTACAAAATAAATGAAACAAAGAAAAACAAGTAAGGAAGGGCTAAGTTCGGATGTATCCGAACATTTTATACTCTCGCAAAGTCAAATGGTATACTCGTTTGAGATTTCTTTGTGGATTGACTGATATTTTCGGTAGAAGGTCAACTATAGGCACTGGGGTCCACATATTTAGTACTTAGGGGTTTGAACAGTTTTGGTTCGATTTAGACAATTTTTGGCCGCAGGGTGGCATACTTTAATTGTATTATTCACGCAAAGTTTTACCCCGATATAATCATTGTTACCTGATTTGCATAGTGGAAAGTGAAAGAATCAGATGGCATTGAAAATGGTGTTACATGGGAAGTAAGCGTGATTGTAGTCCGATTTCGCCCATTTTCGCACTATGACATAGAAACATGAAAAGAACTTTATGCACCGAATTTGGTTGAAATCGGTTAAGCAGATCTCAAGATATGGGTTTTCACCTAAAAGTGGGCTGTGCCACGCGCACTGACTAATTTTGAACGCGGTTCCTATAAGGCCAATTTATACCATCTCAGAGATAAAATTTAATGTCTCTGGCGTGTTTAGTGCTTGATTTATCGCGCTTTTAGTAGTTTTTAACAGTACCGTTATATGGGGAGTGGGCGGAGTTGCCACCCGATTTCAACTATTTTCACACCGTCAATAGAAGTGCTAAAAACATTTGCTTCTAGTGAATTTAGTTATTATAGCACTAGCGGTTTAGGAGATATGCACATTAAACCTATTAGAGGCGGGACCACGCCCACTTTAAAAAAAAGTTTTAACTGCAGATGCCCCTCCGTAATGTGATCCTGTGTACCAAATAACAGTCTTGTATCTTATTGCGGAGCTTAGTTATGGCAAGTTATTTGTCTTTGATTAATGGCGTTTTGTGGGCGTGGCAGTGGTCCGATTACGCCCATCTGCAATACCAACCGTCTCACGGTACCAAGAAACATGTCTACCAAGTTTCATAAAGATATCTCAATTTTTACTCAAGTTAGAGCTTGCACGGACGGACGGACGGACAGACAGTCACCCGGATTTCAACTCGTCTCTTCATCCTGATCATTTATATATATATAACCTTATATCTAACTCGATTAGTTTTAGGTGATACAAACAACCGTTAGGTGAACAAAACTATTATACTCTGTAGCAACAGGTTGCGAGAGTATAATAAAACTCGATAAAGCAAAGCAACAATAAACAGAATTGGTCGGTAATTTGTGGCATGGACGCTTTCCTCACGAACGCCAGCGTAATGTTTGACGGCGCGCTGTGTGGCGTCAGTGTTGCGGGGGAGAAATATGTAAGTAAGCAATGACGACTGCAATGACGCGTACGCCGAGTGTCAAGTGGTGGTGGAGACGCGACGCGTTTTAATTTACATTTAAGTTTTTACATACATATATATGTATGGATGCATATACATATTTGTATGTAAGCGAATTTACCTTCGCAAATTTATGGGGGACAAGTGTGGGTGGTCCTGTTGAAATATTAAATTACCTAGCTAGCAGCAAAATTTGTTGCAAATAAATTATTTTTGTTTAATTAAAAAAAAATTGGATGGTGGTTAAAATTTATTTATGAGTGAACATATAGCATCATATTATCGTAATGTATCTACATATATTTACATACATGTTTTGAGTTGTGTAATGTGTGTGTGATTAGGTCTTTATCCTGAAGGCTGAAAAGGTGGGTTACATAAAAATAATAGAGCACTCTTAGTAAGCGGATCTCGAATGCAGCCTTTGTCTACTTAGTCGGACAGTGCATTCATATTCTAATTCCGCCATATAGTGGTCATTCCATACATTAGTCCTATAGAATAGTAAACATTTTTGACATTATTGCTTCGCACCAAAGCGCGACGAGCTGAGTCAATTTAGGCATATCCGTCTGTCTATGTACCATACATATACGCGAACTAGTCCCTCAGTTTTTGAGATATCGATTTGACATTCTTCACATGTATGTCTTTTTCTCCCCACGAAGTGGTTCATTTGTCAGAACTGCAGACTATAAAATAAAGCTACCATACAAACTGACTGATCAAACTCATGTCCTTGTTTTGAAAACTTTTTATTGAACAAGATATCTTCACGAAACTTGGCAGGTATTATTGCCCAACGCTATAGTCTCCGAATAAATTGTTCAGATCAGACCACTATACCATATAGCTGCCATTCAAACTGACCGATCAAAATCATAAAAGATCCTTTTCCTTATTAAGTAACCGGCTTAAAGTAATTCGGCTTAAGGGCTATTTATATCAAACAACGTGGCTAGAAATAGCTAGCAATACCTTTTCGGTTGAATGCATACCCTTATCCAGTTACGTTTTCAGATTTAATTATACATATAGAGTTGCTATCAAAAAAGCACCTGTGAAGAGTATTGTAACTTCTATGCAGCCGAAGGTAACGTTTTTTCTTGTTTTTTGGTTTTTTGATAAAAACTAGCTGATGATTATTCTAACCACCGAACCTTTGACGCTGTAACGTTTACTTAATATGGGCTTCAAGACATGCATTAAAAATCCTAAAATCTGCCTCGAAGTGTATTGAAGCATTTCACTTCTAACATTTCTCTGATTATTTCTTTAAGACACTTAAGTCGAATTTAGTAGAGAAATCATTTAGACTAATTGACCTTCAAATAACTTAAATTATAAAATTACAAAAAAAATTGTTTTAATTTTATCCAGCTTGTGTTTAGAAGCTCATGATCACTAACTTACTTATTAAATTTCAGCTACTTAAAAATTTCATATACAAAATTATTGAATATTTGCATTAAAAACATATTAGCATAGCAAGCATAATATATCATTCCAGTACAGTAGTATATTTAGATATGCATAACTACAGTTCAAATCACACCAAGATCTCAGCTGTTGCTTATCTGTCTTTTGCTGTCTCTAGAGTATTTACATCTTCACACATTCCACAGAAATACAGACATTAACCGAAAAACCACTTATATCTATCAACAACCATCATCTGCAACAATAACATCCGCTACGACAATTACAATTAACTGCTTCCAGTAATATAAACATAACGTCCCAATTCCCCAAAGTGAAATTCCATACAGCAGCATTTGTCAAATATTTTTACACCCTCACATATAAACATATCATCACCACCACTCCCACCAACCAAACATATGTTGATATCAATAATACACACAAAAATTGGCCTCTGCGTATAAAAGTCAAATTCGACACTCTCGCGTTAAAATGCGATTAGCGCTTCTCCCGCATATTGCAATTGTACACCTAAAGTGGATGCTCTCGTATTCCCCTGCCTTTTGCTAAGTGTTTGGGTCGATTAAATGTACATCCATATGTAAGTATGCAGGTACGTGAACTGCTGCTGTGACACCCCCAACAAGACTTACTCTCACAGCCAACTCTCTGAGGGATTTTAAATTTGAAACGCATCTATGTAATCTAGCTGCCTCGTGCCATACTCAGAAATAGTTGACCATTTCCGCCAGACTTTTGACTTTTTGCTTTCCTGTTATGGTGATGTCTTCATTACCTCTGTACTTGAATTCATAAGTGTGTAGATATGGTATGTAGCATTACCTTTTGCGGTTGTGGATCGTCCAAGTGCAGCGTGTATTCGAAATCTCCAATTTTCTTCCAGTGTCCGCTTTTACTCCAATTTAAGTCGCTTTGTTTATGTGATAGTTATTGTATTTTGAAATAAATGAGGTTTCGAGTATTTTTATGTTAATGCAAAGAGTAGAACGATAAGATATAAAAACTTTCATGGAGTAGGTATGCTTTTTAATTTTTACATTTTCTCATAAAAGTGTTACTTTCTTATTTTTGAATAACGCTGATTTCGTAATCTTAAATATTCATGATGTACTCCTTATTTATTTGGTATGTATCTAGTACTTATCCAACAAAGGTCCTATGTGACAAGGTTTTCTTTTTGAGGCAATTAGTAAAATATGTCCGCTGAATTGTTGTTACCCAGTGCAAATCGCCCAAAACACCCACAAACACAACAGTCGTCAACACAGCCTCTGCGATTTAGGTCAGTATTTTTTTGGGATTCCCATGAAATTATTATATTTTCATTGACTACATGGCAAAAAGTATTAATGCACAGTATGAAAAACAGACCAAATACTTTTCAGGTCTTTATAGTAAGCCACCTTCAAACCTCTTCTGGAGTTGAATAAAAAAATGATGATAAAGCGTTTAATTATTACTTATCATCTGAGCTCTACGACAGGAGAAGCAAGCATTCGTAAATGGTACATTCTATACATCTCATAAACGCAGTCTCCAAAAGAAACCGGTACGGACGAAAACATCAAAAAGCCCAGTTTTGAATGGCTGTTAATGAGATTGATCGTGATAAGCGACAATATAGAGATATCTGAGGAAAATATTTCCAACACGTCTAAATATTCATGAAAATATGCATATGCGAAAGTTATGTACAAAATGTGTACTGCACCAACTCACAATCGACAAAAAATTGCATAAATTGGGCTTTGAATTACTTACTCATACACCAAATGCTTGCTCTCCATCCTTTGTCATGTTGTCAGACATAAAGGAATGATCGCTGGAAATTTGTCGTGACTGAAGTGAAAATCAATTGTTCTATCGAAAGCCTATTCACAAGTTAGAAAATATCTATAATGGGTGTATCCTAACCTATGAACAGTCGTAAGGGAGGTTAGGTCGTGGGGTTGATTCAATATCGATGTATCTCACTTGGACAGATATTCGTCTTTTGTGTTATCCATAAACTCCTAAAACAACAACGTCAGCAGATTCCAGCAAACTTTATGTTATTTATCTTTTACTTGGAGGAAAAATGTCATATTATATTTGCAACCTTGAATTACTTCTTTATTCACCACCACTGTAATTATTTTTTGGAATCTCGATGAATCAGATTTTCAAAAAAGATCAAGGGGTTTTGCAGCTTTCAAATTGCATTCTTTTGGATTACTCCGAATTTTCAAATGTATTTGTTATATACAAACATACAATTTACAAGTGCATTAAAAACACGCACATCTGTATGTATGTACATACAAATGTTCATATACTTGATATTTTGGCTGATGACCCAGATCTAGTTATTTACGCCGACAACTATGTTATAGGGCCTTTTGTCGTCGCATCACAGATCATCAGATGATCAGATGATCAACACGTTGATTAGCCAGCCAGCTTGTCGTTGATCTTGTATGAGAACAGAAAGCAATCGCAATCAGAAGCGAATCAAAAACAGTACTGACATTATCGAGAATGCGTACAAATTTAGATATGTACATATGTATGTATAGCTATGTAGAGTTGTATGGAGTACCTACTTCAGAATGGCACATCTTCTTCGCTGCATCGGCGGCATCGTCATCGTCAACCGCATTATCATTATGTACTCCACAGTAGCGTTAACTGCAAAAACAACAAGAACAAATTTAACAGCAATAAACGAATGAATGTTTCGCGTTTGCTCGTTGTGTCCCATTACTCAACACAGTGGTTCAGGCAATAATATCATCTCAACCGTAGCCATAGCCGTAGCCGTCTCCATAGTCGGAGCTGAAGCGAGGCCGAGACTGTTTACTGTCGTTGTTGGTTTGTTTAGTGTTGTTGTTGTTGTTGTATACTTCTTATTGTAGTGTGAAATTTGATATCCTGAAAAGAGCAGCAGAAACAGCAGCAACGGCAGCATTAACTACGAACCAAACTGACGAATACATATAAAGCAAACAACAACAACAGCTACAGTATGCTCATTTTACGTACATACATATGTACATATGCACGTATGTATGTATACATGCTGATACATACATATTTATACATTTCTGATAAATGGGTTGTTAATGGCATGCTAGACGGGATATTCCGAATGCAGGGGAGCTCTACGTGCGACGTAGTTGTGGTTAAGTCGTTTATTTGTTGTTGCAAGGATGTTGAAGTTAGATATCATTTCTATGGATTTTATCAAAGCATTGCCATCAGCAATTTTCTGTTTAACGGCAACAATTTGATTGGTTTTAACAGCGACGAAATTATTCATTGAAAGCGTTGTGTGAAGAAATTTGTTGTACGGCTCCTATTTAAACGCCAGGCAAATCGATTTCTGGCTAGTTTGAAATTTTTTACTCAATGAGAAGTCAGACCAAAGAGATAACAATTTATTAACAAACCATATTTTTCTTTGCCAAATGCGACCCCTTTTTTTAATACGGGGTCGAATCGGTTAATGACTTGGCATATTAAAGCATTGTTCTATCCTTTCTATTACTTTAAAGGTGGGTGTCACCCCGACTTAAAATGGTTTAATGTATATATCTTCCAAACCGCTAAAGCTAACTCAACCAAATTTGCTGAGAGGAAGTCCATTTAGAACTTTTTCATGATCAGATAATAACCACGCCCACTCCCCATATAACAGTTATGTTAAAATATAATACAATAAAAGAGGGAATAGGATTTATAGGAGGAGGTTTAAAAATTCCTTTAAAGCGTGTTTTTTTAGTTTTTCAAACTATAATTTATTTTCTAAAGATTCTTCTTTCACAGAGATTTGATCTCATAGCGCACGCTCTGTCAACGGAACTTGAAAACCTATTTACATGCTCCAAAAATAACAAAACAAAAATATGAACAATTTTTGAAATGTAACTGTCAAAGTTAATTTTTTAGGTTATGCAATAAACTAAATTACTGCTGACACTTTTAACACTTATGTTATTGAGATTTTTAAATTAAATTTTAAATTCTCCGTGTCTCTCTATTCATTACAGCGGCGCATCGGACAAACAACATTTGGATTCGTCCAGTGATTCCGAGATGGAGGGTTCTCTACTGCAACAAACGCATAATGTAGCCAATAACAATCATCATCACCAGCAACAGCAAGTGCATCAGCATCAATCGCCACATCATCAACAACACCCCACCGCGCATACGCAATCACAGCAACAGCAAGCACAACAGTTATCACCAACTACGACACACAACAATCACAATCACCATCATCATCATCATCACCATCACCATGCCGCTGCCGCTGCTGCAGCTGCAGCTGCCGTTGCCGCACAATTACCACAAACACACCATGCCAGCGCAGCGGCGAGTATGGAACAGGCACATCATCAACACCCGCATAGCTTGAATGCCACACAATTGGTAGGACTCTCACCCACCTCGGGCGGCAGTGGTGGTTCGGGTGGTGCCGGCGGTGGTCTCACCACAGCAGCCGTTGCAGCTGCGGCCGCTGCTGCCGCTGCCTCGTCGAGTAGTAAAAATGGCAATAATGCTGCTGCTGCTGCAGCGGCGGCGGCGGCGGCAGCTGGACAAATGGCACCACTATCGGTCGCATATCCACACCTGCACAGCGTCATGGGTTCGATACCCATCTACGATATGAGTGAATATCAGCATTTATGATTTTAGTTGGAAACGTCAGCAGAGTGGATGGCCAATGCAGCAGCAGCAGCCGCTACGGCGACGTCGACTGTATGCACTGAGCATACAGCAATGGCCAATGAGGCGGGTATAACGGCGGCAGAAACAGCAGTGGCGGCTATGCGCCAGGAATTGCAACAATCGACAAATTTCTATTATTAAACGAAATTATTCGAGTTTGTGCTTAGAGCGAACCAGTGAGATGAAAACTTTTAAATAGCGCAAATTTAAACACTTATAAGCATGAGGCTTTGATGGGAATGATAATTACACGGCTGCTATTAAAGTGAAATTTTCTACACATCCTGCATTGTATTACGTGGCAGTAGTTAGATATTAATTAAATTTAAAAAAGAAAGTTTGGTCTTCATTGTGGTAGTATTATTCCGCTTGTTGTTAAATAGTATTTTTCTGACTTTAAATATATCTTTTCTAACATTTTTTTTTAACAATAAGAAGTTAATATTTCACTGTTATTTCTAGTAGATATTGAAGAATTTTCTTTTTATCAAAATTACAATTAAATTTTTGAATAATTGTAAGCAAATCCACCAAAAATGTAAACAAATATCAGCTGTCCTGTCATTTAGATAAGTGAACGAAAGAAACAGTGGCGTTAAACTCGCACTAAAATCAGTAGAGCATTTTATTAATCTAACATACTACATACTACTGCAAACTTGCCCAATAGTGAAAAACAAAATGAAAATAATATTGCATGCAATTTTTTAGCAATACATACATATTACGAAAATAAAATAATAGTTACTCAATATATTATGTTATTGTATAGCAAATATAGACGGAAATGAAAATTAAAATATATCGATAGCATATAAATTGTAAAAAATCGCCGCATTAATGATCGAAAATAACTTTTAATTAGCGAAACAAAAAAATATTAAAAATATTTAAATAATTGTAATATATCATTATAATTAATATTTTATTAATATTGTAAATAGCTGCAATTCAAAATATATTAAGAGAAAAAACATAAAATCAAATATGTGCAAATTTAAATCATATATACATACATACATACATAGTAGCTTTTAGTTTTTGTTAAACTATCGAACATTTTAAATTATTTAAAGGTTATTATATGATAACATAAAAACACGTTCAAAACTAAATTCATGAAAATTAAAAAAATCCATATATACAAAAAATGAAATTATAAAAAATTCAAAAATTGAAATATAATAATAAAAACTTAAATTATAAAAAAGTTGCAAATTGGTTTTAATTGATGTAAAAATGCATTTAGTGTTGAATATTACATGATACAAATATTTAACATCCAAGCCTTTACGAAAATTCATTAATTTATATTAGACTAATTTATATAAGACTTACTTATAGAAAAATTTATAATTCCAGTTCGAAAATATGAAACCAAAGATGAGTTGTCCTGGTATTTTATGGTTTGTTCAATGGAAACTTCGATTCTTCAAAAATTAGAACACAGTAATAACAATATTAAG